CTCTAATTTTGGTGAATATTTGTAATTTTGGTAAAAAGTGATATTTTCGACTTCTTGTTAAAAACCGCAAGTCCAATTGCTTTGATATTACATATATAGGTACTACATGTGTACCTCTCTCAGATTTGTTCATTTTGTAATGATGTCTTCAATTCTCTAATTTTGGTGAATATTTTTGTAATTTTTGGTAAAAAGTGATATTTTTGACTTCTTGTTAAAAACTGTAAGTCCGATTGCTTTGATATTACTTATATAGATACTACATGTGGACCTCTCTCAGATTTGTTCATTTTGTGATGATATCTTCAATTCTCTAATTTTAGTGAATATTTTTGTAATTTTTGGTAAAAAATGATATTTTCGACTTCTTGTTAAAAACCAAAAGTTCAATTGCTTTGATATTACATATATAAATACTACATGAAGACCTTTCTCAGATTTGTTCATTTCGTGATGATTTCTTCAATTCTCTAATTTTGGTGAATATTTTTGTCATTTTTGGTAGAAAGTGATATTTTCGACTTCTTGTTAAAAACTGTATGTCCGATTGCTTTGATACTATACATATTGTTCATTTTCTAATGATGTCTTCAGTTCTTTAATTGAAATGGGTCCTACTACTTAACGCGCGGACACGCGAGGGAGTGTCTGGGCACGCGCGGAAGCGAACAAGGGGGAATACCTAACGTGCGGAGCAGTGGCGGCAATCCTTGTACTGTATAATATTCGTTTATGCTCAAAATTTGAACCAGAGTGGCGAATTCGAGCAGCTATCCACACTTTTTATGATCGACGCCCGGGCATTCTGGCTAGTCGAGTCCGCCATGTTGTTTACTAATTTTGGTTAGCGTTTAACAATAGGACAATACCATTCGATCCATGGGGGTGACAGTCCTACGAATGTGCCGACATTGTCGAAGGACAAGGACAGGACAAGTTTATACAAGTGTGGCGAGAATCCCGTAGTTACGTGGAAATTATTTACCTCATGTAAAAAAAGCATCGTTTCTCATTGTTGTGCTGTATCGTATCATGGATCTAGGTAGTCCTGCGTACAGTCTATGGAGGTACGCCGGGTTGTGGTGGGGTCGTCTATCAACCAAACGCGCCCCCGTACACTTAGCATTGTATTGCAGGGCTAGCATCCAAGAGCTTCGTGGTTGTGTAGTCAAAATAATGTTACAATGTGAAAACAGACAACCGCTCAGCCATAATACGTATCGAGACAAAACATAATTTGTCGATAATCGAGTGTTGCCAGGAAAAGTGAGATTGTCGCAAAATGTAGCAAATCGTTTTCAAAACAGTGCCGCTTAGAAAGTCTCGCTATATTGCAACGTTCAGTGAGACTTGAATCTTGTTTGCGCCCACTGTAAAACATGTATAGTAAACAAACCGCCCTTTTAGAAAATATTTTTATTAAAAATAAGTACAAGTAAACTAAAACGAAAATTAAAACACGCATAACATAAAATATTTTTATTCAAAATTAGTCTTGTATATGTTACTGAAGAACAAGTCAACTAAAACGAAAATTAAAACATGTATAATAAATAGACAGACACAGGATACGACAGCAATAAAATTATATTATATGTCGACGGTAAAGTCTACGTGTCTTGCGCATTTTGATTATAAACAAAATAAATCCTGGCTAACGAAATTGACAATTGTATGATAAATGTGTTTTTCGTTGTCCCTATAATGCAGTATCAGAACTCCAAGTTAAAATATTAACGGGGAAGTACAATTGCGCATGCCTCCCATTAGTTCGAAAGAACGGCATTATCACGTCGGTATGTTCAATGGTCCACACTGAATACTGAACACTAATAGTTTTGAAAAAAATACATTAACAGGTCGGCAAGTTCAATCGTCCACACCTAAGACAATGCCATAACTCTGTAATAGTTCTGAAAAGAAGGCGTTATCATGTCGGCAAGTTAAATTGTTCAAACCACAGTCCCTCTATCATGATGTGTTCGAACTAAAAGCAACGTCATACACTGATTTAAAAAAAAAAAAACGTCGATAGCACACGGGTTTGGAAAAGATCGATCATGGGGCGTGTATACAGAAAACTACTGGTATGTAGCTCGCCAACTGGGCTTGGGATCTCTCCATCGCGTCAAGTGGTCATACATTCGCAAACGTGAATTCGTACAGCGGGCGATGAACTGAACTTGGCCTTTCGATGTGTCGCTTCCAAGGCGTTGTGATACTTTCTTATTACTACCTATATTTAATAAAAGTGGGAACGTCATTCAGTTTCAGTTTCATTGTTAACGGCAGGTTACGCTTGCGCACCTGAAGCATGTGTGCGAATAGAGGTCATAGCCGTCGCATCGCGATTTTATAGTAGCTCACATACCGGACTTCCACCCTGCTCGGGGATCATGTGGTCTGTGTTACGAGCCCGGCCGTTACAAATTGGTCTGGGATCAGCTTGTAAATAATCTACTGTAACTATACACCGCACCACAGTCCCTCTAGAGGGACTGTCACTGCACAAACAAACTACAAGAGATTCCATAAAATAGAAATACAAGTGGCGTTTATCACGCTATTAATTTATTCAAGACCTTTTGTTACCTGTTACAGCTCCAAACAGAAACAACAAATGCTTTGTCTCTAGACGCAACTCGCCCTGGTTATGTAAATGTTTCCCCTTACCATCAGGCTCCAAGCCGGAACAAATGACAACCTTTTTTTTCTGAATTACACAAGTTCATCATATTTGGTATGTCATGTTTATTTGAAAAAAAAACGTGCCTTGCTTGGGTTGAACGACGGTTACTAAAAAATAGTGACCGTGGTTGAACTGAATTAGGGACAGTGTATGTTCCACCCTTTGTTGTAGTTGTACAATAGAGTGTCAATCACATGTGTCGCGGCGTCAACACTTTGAAATATGTGGATGAAACGTAATATACCGTATGCTATATTGTGCACGAGATTGACCACAGTCCCTTTATCACTGATAGAGGGACTGTGGATTGACCAAACTCTGTGCTTTCGACAAGAGGTATAAATCAGGTTTACCGTAAACTGCGTGTACAATAAGAAATTTACCGCATGCTGTAAGAGTGGGGACAGGGGGTGGGTGACTGGTACATGATGCAGGAAATAAAAAAAGGCATCTTAAGTTTTTACAGGAGGTTACCATTTACAGTAAAAAAATCGATTTTTACACTTAAAGATATATTTGATATTTTGTGTTTAAGAATCTATATTGGAAGCTTAATGTGGAAAATGCTTTATATAATATACACTTACAAAATATACGATCTTTGTACAAATCATGGATGAATAAAACGGTTGATGACATTTTAAATCTTGTCCATGGCTACGAATATACGTTTTTTATTTGTTTGAATTACATTACAAAGTATAAAAACATTGGACCACAGCCTACGAAAATATCCCCTCTGTACCGTGTACGGACACGAGATTTACCGAACTCTGTACCGTTCACGATATTTACTGTATACAAACTTGCACTGCAACAGGAAACACAAAGACGTTACGATATTCTTAGGATACCGATTTCATTGCATGTGTACGTAGCATTGTCACCTGCATACAATGCTGTGTTTACGGGGACACATAACAATGAGAAAACGACATGAGGTGAATAATTTCTGCGTAACCGACGTCTTACATGGTCATTTTTTAATGAATCTTACTAAACAATACTACGGGAGTCTCGCCACACTTCCACAAACTTGCCCTGTCATTTTCCTTCGACAATGTCGGCATATTCGCAGGACTGTCACCCCCATGGATTGACTACTTGTACATGGTTATAATGTTGTTCTTTCTGATGTACATCTGTTCTGTGATGCTTTCAAAAAGACTATTATTTCATGGAAAAGGTTTCAATAGTATTACTATGTTTTATTATTTACTTTGAAGTTGATGGCAGGTGGTCTGAATGGGGTGATTGGACAGAATGTTCACTAAGTTGCGATGGCGGTGAAAAAACTCGACGTCGAACATGTACGGAACCGTCACCTTCTTATGGCGGCCGACCATGTCAAGGCGATTCCTCACACGTTGCAAGATGTAATTTGATACCATGTCCAGGTTAGTCACGCTCAATATAAAATAGGATAAGAGACATATTTTTTTTTTATACAGATTTAATCACTTTTGCCATGCAAAAAAAAAATGCTATGTTTACTTTAAAGCGAGAGAGTCGTCACCTGCGCATGCGTTAGATGGCCATAGCGTGTCAACAAGCGTCTACCCATGAGCTTTTGTGTTTTTAGCGTGTGCATGTGACAACCCTCCCGCTTTAAGTTATATAAATATAAATTATTTAAGTTATATATTATATGAATATAATTATCAGATGGTCCAGCTGACGCTGTTGGTAATGTTATTGGTGAAATTAATGGTATTGACTTTGGAATTGCAAGACTGTATGCCAATATCACCCGTGATGGGAATTCAAAGCGAGTTCATGCGAAAATATATGACATACCTGAATCAGTAGGTAAGTAGTATGCATCCTGTCAATAAAACACTTTTAACTTATGGTTTATATGCGTTAAATATCTTTGTTTTTTCTTCCTGGCCCTGTCTACAACAAGGTCTCCACCCTTCCTCCCAGCCTTTCAGCAAGGTCTCTAAAATAAGGTCTGTATCCTGTTTGAGGTATGCACTCTTATCAAAGTTGTAACAGTTAACAAACTATGTGATTAGGACTCAGATTAATATATATATGTGACTGCCACATGAGGAGGAGAATTTAATAACTTTTTTTAAAAACACCTCACATCAATTCTTCACTGTTGCCTTTGGGTGTCCATACATCTTCTGCCTGGTTAGTCCCCGTTCGGGGACTTATGTTTTGGCCTCTGTGTGCCCGTGCGTGCGTGCATGTGTGTGTGCGTGTGTGTGTGTGTGCGTTCGTGCGTCTGTGCGTGCGTCCGGACCTGTATCTTAGAAATGCCTGGACCAATCACAATCAAACTTCACACATACATTATACATGATATTATACAAATGCACATCAATTTGTTTCACGATCTGATTCAAGATGGCCGAATGGCGGCCATTTTTGTGCTAAAAATCATCAAAATCAAGCATTTGTTGGCTGTTTACAGATGGATTTTGTTTAAACTTTGTATATACATTAGACATTATAGGACCTTGATGCACATCATTTTGTTTCACGATCTGATTCAAAATGGCTGACTGGCGGTCATTTTGTTTTAATGAATGTGGTTCTTGTGCCATATCTCTGACTTGCTTTCACTGATTATATTCAAATTTTAAATATTCATTATACATGATGTCATCGATAGACAGATATATTGGTTTGACGATCCTATTCAAAATGGCCAAATGTCAATCATTTTAATGTTAAAAAATCATATTCCTGACATGGTTATATTCCAGCTATATTACTATAAACAAAACTACCATATATATCTTAAATTTGATAACTAACAGGGACTGTGCCATGCATGGCTTGTTACCTTTCTGTTGTTACATAGGTCCTCTCTAATATATATTTATAGCCTGAAAATGTGGCAGTCACTCACTGAGTAGGCGAAATCCAATCAACATTTTTGACTTCCGTGTGCGAAGCACAAAAAAGGAGTCTTTGCAGTTAGTGTGTCTGTCTGTGTGTCTGTCTGTGTGTGTGTCTGTCTGTCTGTGTGTGTGTGTCTGTTCCATCGATATCTCAAGAACCAATGTTCGGATTTCAATGAAACTTGGTATATAGCTTGTCTGGGGCAATGCGCAGATTTGAATTGTTTTTGGTTGACATCCATGCATATTAATGAGCTCATTTGCATAATAATGTGTGAATTTTAAGCTATTTCAGTTATATCTCAAGAAGCATTAAAAACGATTTTTATGTAACTTGGTAAGAATGTTACTAATGATTGGCTGCTGCAATTCATTGTTGCATTTTACATTTTAATTAAAATTTAGCATTTTTTATGTATTTTTTTAATATTTTTTTTTAAAGTTTTTTATGCCCAATTGCATGAATACAACTAATAGGAATCAGTGAGTGTACTAATTTGCATAATGATG